TTCCTCTTACCCTTGTAATAGGCATCCCACTATTGGGAACCTCCTGTCTGCTCTAAAAGAGCGTACAAGTGCGTGTGAGGAAACTGTCAAGCCCGGATCACATAATATCAGCTGCTACTAATAATGTTCACAACAATCTAAACTCAATTTCATTCTAACCTATCTTTTTATGGAAAGCATGGCAGGTAAAATGCGGTGTCTGAATCTATAATCATTACAGACGTAAATTTCCATATAAATGAAAAGCCTGTGAGATCTGCAAACGCCTTCCTCCATTATTGGTTCCTTCAGCGAAACAGATAAATTGACATGAATGATTTAACTGAAACTGCTAATCAAATAATGAGGGCATCAAATAGTGTTTAGGTGTTATGCATTAGTGTGTTTTTCAACTTGTATTGCAGGGATTTGCTTATGTGCTCAAATTCATCTGTCGTCTAGCATGTGGCGTTGTTTTGAACATGTGACTTGGATAGTGTGTGTGTTGTTTTGTGTGGTCTGATTTACGACTCTTTGCTTGTCTTTATGGCCCAGTGAGTGATGAGTGTAATCAGCTTACACAAGCACTGCTCCCAGCCTTGCACTGTCTAACAGTAAACACACACACCTCATTCAAATCTCGACATTATGCAATATTACACACTCACATAAGCACCAGTTACATACTCTGTGTGCAGGGCAATGGCTCCGGATGTTTGCTGTTTTGGTCAGGCGGAAGGAAGGCCTCTATTTTTGTCTGAGAGATTTTAATCTTGACAAACTCTTCAGTTTGTGGAATATCATGATGTTTAAATGAACATTAACAAGGTAACGGTCAGTGCAAAATTTCCATAGGGCTGGGAGATGTAGCGAAAAATATTAACATGCCAATCAAATGTGTGTATGTGTGATTGTACTACCATTCAAATGGTTATAGTTTTTTCCAGCAAGGATGCATTCAGCTGATCAAAGGTGACAGTAAAGCCTTTTATAATGTCACATATATATATATATATATATATATGTGTATATACACACACACACACATACATACATATATATATATATATATATATACA